CCCCCCCCGCCAGAATACAGGCTGGGGATCAGCAGTCCAAAGTCTGGTGAGGACCCGAGGGGTGGAGGGGCCCACCACCGTGTCACCTGCACAGTGTCTCCGAGAGCCGCTGGGCCTCCTCCAGCAGTCGCTGCCGCCGCTGTACAAACAAGGATCAGAATGGCTCTGCCAGTCACCCCAGAACTACCTCTTCCCTCCCAGCAAACCCCAGCAGACCCCACCTCGCTGTCTACTTTCTCCTTCAGGGAGGCAAAGGACACACCCAGTAGGTCCAGCTGGCCACCGCCACGCCACCGGATATCAAGGAAAGGGCTCTGCAGGGAAAGGAGGACAGCAGTCAACCCCTCCTCCATTATGAGATTCCCTCAGTCCCCTTCCTAACAGTGCTCAGAGACCCAGGTAGTATTCCGTAGCATAAGCAGGCCACAAGGAGCCCCCTCTCACCAGGGACCCCAGGGGGAGAAATCACTGGGGTGTGGGGTGGGGCCAGCTCTAAGAGGGAGGAGAGGAAAGGTGAAAGAAGATGAAAGAGGAGAAGGAGGGAGAAAGAAAAGGGGGAGGGGGGAGGAGGATTAGGAGGAAGAAGAAGGAGGGGGTGGGGGGAGAAGGAGGGAGGCAGCCCTCCCCAGTGGATGACTGGAGGCCAGGTGGACCTCTAGAGGGGTCCTCCTGGGTCAGAGTGGGGATATGATGTCCAGGCCCCTACCTGTGGCTACACAGCACCCACCTGCACCCCAGTGCCCACTGGGTCAGCCCGCAGCACCAGGAAGACCCGGTCACCACACGTAGAGGTCACGTTGACATAGTCCTCCAAGACAGGGGGCCGCCTCAGGACAGGATTGCGGGTGGCTGGTGAGGCCGGAGTGAGATCCACATCAGCCCCGGTGTCCAAAGGCCTGGGAAGGGATGAGGTGATGTGCGGATTCTCACCTCCTGTTACTCTCAGAGAAGGGGCCCAGACTCAATCCCGGCTACCCAGCACTCCCACAGGCCCACAGGCCAGGAATCTTGTCTGAGGAATGGGATTTTTCCAAGGCCACCTGGACACCTGTG